AATAATAAACGATGAGTTATTATCTAAATTTTTAAAGATTATTGAAAAATTGATGATATTATTATTTGAATATTCAAAAACTTAAATAAGAATTGATTGGTTATTTTTTAATGTTTAAAGTTGAAAAAAGATGATGGATTGTTTCTTGAATTTTTAAAGTTGCAAAAAGATTAATGATGTATTCTATAAAAATATAGATAAAATGAAAATTAAAGATTAAAATATATGAAGTTTTTATTTGATTTTTATACAGATAAACTATATAGTTTTTTAACCTTATACATAAGGTTAAAATTTGTAAAAAAATATGATACATTGTTTTTTTATAAATAACAAGGCATTTTGTATTTCTATTTTATTAATTTTAAATTTGGTTAATATATATTAAAAATAAAAACAAAAAAAAAAGTAAATGAGAGAGAAAGAGGAGAAAAAGAAAGGTGAAATGATGTCATTAATGGATGGTTTTTGACTTTTTAATGGCTAAGAGGTACAAATAACTATTCCTAAGGGCATGAAAATCAACATGACACATCACCTGTCTTAAGTGTCCATGCATACATAATGTAATGTTTATAGCTAAGTTAAAAATGGGATGAACTCGCATATGCTAATTTTTTTTTTATAATTAAATATAAAAAGTTAAAATTTAAAAAAAAAACTATATGTAATTTAACAACTATTCTGTTTTAACAATTCAAACATTAACTATATTAATAAAATATTTAATACATTTAATAAAATAAATTTTTTTCTTAGACATTTAATCTCAATAAGTTTAATTGGTTGAATATGATTAAAATATTGTTATTCTCTTTTCTATATCGTTCTAACGATTTCTCTAAATTTAAAGATTTTGACAATCTCTCTCATTTTTTCTATTTTAGCATTGTAGATAACATACTTGTGAAGCAACAAAAGTGTTAAAATTTCACTTTTCTTTATTTTAATATAAATATTGGAGATGTTTTAACAATTAATCTCTCAAATTAATGAATTAAAAGACTAAATTAACCTATATAACCCTCACCGAAAAGGCTACGTACCAAGCATGCATGGTTATTAAGATCAATGACATTAATTTTGCAAATGACTTAACTGGGCAAGAAAGAAGTAATTAAACAATGACTTAATTTCTGTATAGGCTTATACAACTTGATAAAACAGAGTTTTAATTAGGAAGAATTTGATTGATCTGCAGGAAATTAATTAATCAGTAGCCGAGTCTTAATTATACATGACAAGTATGTGAGTGCTAAAGAAGGGTGAAAAATGTTGTTAATTAATTACTATATATCAACCATTATATCTTATTATTATAAGTATTACATGCATTAAATTAAGAAAGTGATAAAAAGTAGATAATCAATTAGTTTAATGTAACTAAAGAATTGAATAGCCAACATGTGAAATAAGAGTCCACGTCAAAAGTTGACTCATCCACTACTTTTAACTTTACAAAGAAACATATTATAAGTTTAAAGACGAAAACATCAAGAACAGACACTCAGCTTCACTTCACTTCACTTCTGATCATCTTAATTCAACTGCACGTGTGCATGATCTATATATATATATTCTACCAAGAACAAGAGCTCTCCGATAAACTCAATATCTCTTCCAAATAATCAGCACCCAAGTCCTCAAACACCACCACCTCCTTACTCTCATCATCTAACTTCATCTCTTTCCTTTTCTTCTCTCTAATCACAGCTTTTCTTCTCATGGTGTGACACCTCTTCAATGCCAGAACAGGTGAAGTCCCTTCTTCGATATCCATCATATAGTCCATTGCTTGAAGGGACTCATAAACCGTCTCTACTGGAAAGTTAAGAACCGCCATTGAACCCCTGGTGACAAATGCAGCTTGGTCATATGCCAAAGCAGCTTCTTCAGCGGTATCGAATGTTCCCAACCAAACCCTAACCCCATTCCTGGTGGAATCCCTTATTTCTGCGGCGTACTTACCCCATCTCCGTGGACGTACGCCTCTGTAACTAATGTTGTTTGCTGGAGAAGACATGGTCTGGTTTGACAAGTCCTCATTGTAAGATGACTCAGCCAGCATTCCGAATAGAACCATCTCTTCTGAATCGTTTTCGTTAAAGGGAAGGGATTGGTTTGATGTGTAGTAAGGGAAGAATGAAGAGTCCATGAAATTGATGGGAGACTGAATATATATATATATATATATATATATAATCTTCTGTGAGAGATGAAGTTGATAAGTTGGTGTTTGGTGTAAGTAGGAGAAGGTCGGTAGGAGATATATATATATATATACAAAGAGACAAAGGTGGTGACTATATATAAGAAGAGAATAGAGAAAAAGAAGTTGAAAATTTAGTGGGATTGTCAAAGACTAGATATGATGCACGTGTGTGGGTCAAAAAAGTAGAATTGGTGGCTTTGGGGATAGGTCATAGTCATACTACCAGTATATTACCCATTTGACATTAGTCATTATATATACGTCACACAATATCCATGCTATTTTCATTAGTCCTTCACAAAACCTCGATTTAAACAAAAATGAACGTAAATATGCATGTGATATATGCATATAATCTAAAAACATTCACGCACATGGACATGGCAAACAACATATAATTAATGACTCAAAAGTAAGTACAGAGACAAGTACAAGTACATGTATACCGTGATTTAGTTACATGGAAAAAACAAAAAAACAAAAATTAAGGAAAAATACTCGGTGAGGAGCTAACCTAAAGAATCTACTCTAACAATTAATGTTGGTACAAGATTTAATGTGCTTCTACTGCACTTACATTGAAGGAAGATACACACACTACTAGAAAATTGGACATTTCCGGCGTCTTTTCCGGCGGACCATAAAAAAGTCAACTTTTATTGACTTCCACCGGGAAAATTAAACTTATTATATTATCAGCGGATTTCCGACAGATTTCCGGCGGATTTCTTAATTAAGGGTTAATTAATCTTTTAAAACTAATTAATCTTTGAAAAAAATTTAAAAAAGGTTTTTCTAAAAACATTTCCGGCAGATTTTTTTTTATTTTTTTTTAAATTTTCAACCGGAAATCCGCCGGTAACATTTTAGGAAAAAAAATTAAAAAAATAAAAAACATTTTAACCTTTTCCCGCGGATTTCCAGATGTTGGAGACATGGAGAGAAAGTCGGCCAAGCCGTATAATGATAACATGAGTGGTGCGAGGAAGAAAGCTAGGGAAAAAACAAGGATGAATGGGTATCCTCAGCATGGTGAAACGGACCCCAACCGAGATATGAGTGTGTAGAAGCATTCCCCCCCCCCCC